ACAAAGGGTGTTTAGAGATTGAAAACAGTCTTCTCTCCAACACCCCACGTGCGCATATTTGTTCCTACCCACTAAGCACTATCAGGTGTTCTCTAGGTATAACATTTTCTTACAAATTAACTGCAGAAAGACTCAGTGCTTCCTGCTTGTTATCTGCTTCCCTTATGGCTTGAGGACAGAGAAATTGATTCTGACTCACTCTACCACTTGCTATGAGCAGTTTGGAGTAAAAGGATTTGTCGATTTGGATAATTTCTTAGAAGCTTGTTATTTGCTTGGGAATACATCTATTACTCAACGACTGGAAATATAAAGAGCTGAATCAGCCATATTTTTAAGTTAAACATTTTAAGTTGAGATGGGGAAGGAGCAGTTTAATGGTAATCTTAGTCATTATCATATCAGTATAAACTCTGAAATTTGGAGAAGCTCACGTTCTGGTAATGCAAAGAAATAAATTCTCACCCAAAAGCCTCTCTACCTTGGGCTGTTACCTGTCTTCTGTACCAAAATGAACACTACAAAATACAGGGAAGTGAGCTTATTATGCTCATGCTACAAGATCTGATCAAAAACATTTTATTAGTGGAATATTAACACAATAGCATATATCATCTTTTTTTTTAAAGATTTATTTATTTGAAAGAGTTACAGAGAGAGAAGCACAAGCAGAGAAAGACAGGTCTTCCATCTGCTGGTTCACTCTCCAATAGGCCACAATGGCCAGAGCTGCGCTGATCAGGAGCCAGGAGCTTCCTCTGGGTCTCCCACATGGGTGCGGGAGCCCAAAGTCTTGGGCCATCAGGCCACAAGCAGAGAGCTGGATTGGAAGTGGAGCAGCTGGGACTTGAACCAGTGCCCTTATTGGATGCTGGCACTGCAGGCAGAGACTTTACCCACTAGACCACAGTGCCAGCCCCACAGATATCATCTTAAGGGATTTCTGTTCTGCTCTGATATCCGCTTAGTTAAGCATGCTGGTGTTTCGTTTGTACCTCTCTCCCTAGGCTGATGTACAGGCTGCACATCAGGTCAGAACCTGTGTTGAGAGTAGGCTGAAGAGCCACCCTCACATCAAGCCCTGGCTCTGTGGTAGGCAAAGCTGGGTTGTGTAGTCGGTTAGATTAGAACTAAGGTTATTGAAATCATGTGGTCAAAATTTGTCATCTCAGGGTAGACATGTGGTGCAGCAGCTAAGATGCAGCTTGGCGCACCTGCATTCTGTATTAGAGTGCCTTGTTCAAGTCCAAGCTCTGCTTCTGATCCAACTTCCTATTGATGTGCTCCCTGGGAGGCAGCAGGTGTTGGTTCAGGTACTTGGATCCCTGCCACGCACATGGGAGGCCTGTATTGAGTTCCTGGATCTCAGATTTGGCCTGGCCTAGTTCTGGCTTTCATGGGCATTTGGGGGAGTAAAGCAGACTTTCTCTGTTTCTCTGCCTTTCAAATAAAAAAAATTAAATATCTCATGCACAGAACCTGTCTAGGTAGTTGTTTTGCCCCTGGAATACAACTTCATGTTCCAGAGTTTCCAGTGTTATAGCAGAGTCAGAGCTAGTATGTAGAGCCGAGGAAATCTGGGTCATTATGAGAAAAGCACAAACATGGTAAGTGTAGTTTGTATATCCTCGCATTTCCTTGCTGACTATTTTGTTCTTCCTTTGCCCTGTTTCCCAATACCTGCAGGTTCCCAGTATTTTCAAGCTATGGGGTTTTCTCATTTCAAGAGAAAACATTATCTCATGATTCACTAATATGTTTGTGCATGTGATTAGTATATTTTGTCCTAGGATCATTGGAAGATCCAACAAGAACAAGTAGTGAAGCATAGAAAGAAAACTGAATTGATTTGTGGCCCTTGATGGGAGAGAAACTTAGAAATACAAGATCTTCCCCAAACTTCCTGTTTCAAGTTATATGGGCACTTCTCTACTCTCTTCTTGTACAGATTAGCTGAATCGTTGAGCTTGCTCCATGGGACGTTATTCTAAAAGTTATGTAAACTTTCAGGAGGCTAGGCTTCTGATTCAAGATTGGAAGCCTCATCTCCATTTTCAGCCCTGTGTGTCTAAATAAGTTTTGAATCCTTTCAGTTGCAACTAACAGAATACCAAATCAACATATGATTTAAACAGGTAGGGCTGGGCTGCTCTCACATAACAAGGAGTCCAGATTGAGTTGCTGGAATTGTTTAAGAACTTCAAATCCACATATTGACTTTTTGTTGTCATGATTTTCTAACCTTACCTTTTGATATTTGTTACAACCTAAATCCTGAGCCTCATAAATTAGTTCTAATCATTTGACACACTTGTATACTTTTCTATCTCTATCTGTATTAGTAGGAAACTAAGTATTGTTTTCTTCTCAAAAGAGGGACAAAATAAATTGGAGGCAGAGGCAGTAGCCAGTCATGGTTAGTAGACTGAATGTCAGCTGCTATCATGGTAGCTGGGCTAGTATTTACTCTCAGGAATGGGTTAGTAGGATCCACAATGTTTTAATGGCTATATCTTTGTAGGTACATCCTAAAGACAGAGCACTTTTTTGTTCTAGCTCTGCAGTCCCTTTGGCTGCATATGTATTGGCTCATCCCCTGGACTTTCTTTGATCTTTCCCTGCAAGAACCCATGTTTCAACACAGTGTTGTACCTAACAGCTACACTAAGTGCAAAGTCCTAAGCCTTCAAAATGAGGAAACAGCTATGGTTCAGGAACTATATATAGATTCATTTCCCTGGAAGGTACCAGCCTTTCATCTGCACAAATCCTGCTGTTGGCTTTGAACCAAAACTATCCTACTTTTGGCCTTTCTCATGCTCACCAAAGTTGGAATTTGTTTCAATGGTTTGCAATCCTAGTATCAGAGAACTCTTTCCCACAAAATTTTCTCCACTCCTCTCCCGGATAAGCTGTCATGATTTTCAATTTTCAGTAATTCCTGTTCTTTATAGGGCATTGCCATTTTTTCCCATGATAGCCTGCCCTGCCTCGGCTAGACTTCTTGATGCTTTCTGAGTGCCCATGCCCCTCGATTCTTGTATTACCTGAGACATTTCTTTCCCTCTCCCTCTCTATCACTCTTTCTCATTCAGCTTTACACATATATCCATGTTTCCTTTAAACTACCAGTTTTTTTTTTTTTTTTTTTTTTTTTGACAGGCAGAGTGGACAATGAGAGAGAGAGACAGAGAGAAAGGTCTTCCTTTGCCGTTGGTTCACCCTCCAATGGCCGCCGAGCCCGGTGCGCTGCGGCCGGCGCACCTCGCTGATCCGATGGCAGGAGCCAGGAGCCAGGTGCTTTTCCTGGTCTCCCATGGGGTGCAGGGCCCAAGCACCTGGGCCATCCTCCACTGCACTCCCTGGCCACAGCAGAGAGCTGGCCTGGAAGAGGGGCAACCGGGACAGAATCCGGCGCCCCAACCGGGACTAGAACCTGGTGTGCCGGCGCCGCTAGGCGGAGGATTAGCCTAGTGAGCCGTGGCGCCGGCCAAACTACCAGTTTTTTAAAAAATATTTATTTATTTATTTGAAAGTCAAAGTTACACAGAGAGAGGGAGAAACAGAGAGAGTAAGAGATCTTCCAACTGCTGTTTCACTACCCAAATGTCTATAACAGCTAGAGCAGGGCCAGGCTGAGGCTGGGTTCAGGAGCTTCCTCTGGAACTCTCATGTGGGTGACAGGAGCCAAGGTACTTGGGCCATCCTCTGCTGCTTTTCCCAGGCCATTAGCAGGGAGCTGCATTGTAAGTGGAGCAGCTGGGACATGAACCAGCACCAGTATGTGACACCAGTGTCGCAGGGTGGTGGCTTTACCTGTTAAACTATCTTTACCGCTAAACTATCTTTTTCTTCCATCTAACCACTAATTCTAGGTTGATCTATTGCTTCTTTTTTTTTTTTTTTTCTTACAGGCAGAGTGGACATTGAGAGAGAGAGACAGAGAGAAAGGTCTTCCTTTGCCGTTGGTTCACCCTCCAATGGCCGCCGTGGCTGGCGCGCTGCGGCCGGCGCACCGCACTGATCCGAAGACAGGAGCCAGGTGCTTCTCCTGGTCTCCCATGGGGTGCAGGGCCCAACGACTTGGGCCATCCTCCACTGCACTCCCCGGGCACAGCAGAGAGCTGGCCTGGAAGAGGGGCAACCGGGACAGAATCCGGCGCCCCGACCAGAACTAGAACCCGGTGTGCCGGCGCCGTAAGGTGGAGGATTAGCCTAGTGAGCCGCAGCACCAGCCTGATCTACTGCTTCTAATTATGTACCTACAGCCAACTCTATCCTATTCTCCTGATATTAGGAATGTTATTCATAGTTGCCTTTTCAACATCTCAATCCCAAATGTTAACCAGAACTTTCGTTTTCAAATTTTAAAAATGTGATTCATGACAAATCACATATAAAATATATTCAACATCAGTAGCAATAAATAAATGCAAATTAGAACCTCAAGGAGATTACTACACACCCTAAGAGTGACTACAGTAAAAAATAAATGCTAGTGGATCACTCACAGAATATGGGTGGGAAATTAAGCCCCCAGAGTGACCCTGGGATTCAGTTTAGTAATTTCTGAAAACATGTTATGACCTATGACCTGGACGCTTTGGCATGTACCCCAGAGTATAAAGAGTTATGTTCACATCAAAACTTAAACATGGATCTTCATAGTAGCTGAAAACAGTCAAGATGATCATTAATAGGTGACTGGTTAAGCAAACTATGGTGCAGTGTGTCAGTGTCAGCATCCTGGTTTTGACACTGTACTGTGGTTTTGCAAGATGTTAGCAAGCTGAGTGAACAACATGGAAGATCATTCTGAGTTATTTATTTACTCTTTTTTTTTTTTTTTTTTTGCATGGCTCTTTTCAGTTTATTGCATGAAGGAGTTAAACTAGTCCAAGTTAAAAGCAGACCCTAAATGGTTACATCATACAAGCTGTGAGGTTTTTAAACTTGTGACAAGGGACAGAAAGGCAATTCTACTCATTGCAAGGAAATCCTCAGTTACACTTCTGTGCCACAAACACTTGAAACCCATGAACCTTCAGCTGATCGTCCTTAGCCAGTCCAATCTCTACCAGGAACTGGCGCTGGTTCTTGTGCTGGTTACCCTGTAGCTGAATTACTTCTCCATATTCTGGGTGCTCCACTACAGTACTGTTGCAGGCATATTTCTTAAACACCTTTACTAGTTTCTTTTTATCGTAATCATCAACAATCCCTTGGACAGTAGGAAGGGTCTTCCTGCCAGTTCTCTGTTGAATTCTTACATGGATATAATCCTCAGTGCCAGCGGGAACCAGGTCATCATCCTTACTGACATCAGCAAAGGGGTCGAAAGAGTGGAGGTTCTGGACAGCAGACATAAAATACAATTCCTTTTCCTCGGCAGGCCAAAATGGCCTGCGGAGAAGGTGGGGTGGGGTGGGGGACAGAGCATCTGGAAGACAGGGGGCTCGAGGGAGGGGCTGCTGAGTCCTCACTGGCAGCTCAGTGTCTGGGGCCTCTGAGTTATTTCCAACAACCGTATGTGAATCTACAATTACCTTCAACTTTCACAATTGAATTTAGAAAGTTAATTACATTTGTTTAGGGTAGAATAGAATAAGAAAGTTGGTAAAGCATATGGGTGGGAGTGTGGGCATGGTGGGAAGAATTACTATATTCCTAAAGTTGTAATTATGTAATTTGTATTCCTTAAATAAAATGTTTCTTTGGGAAAAAATACAAAGAAATTAATTTAATTCTGAATATTAGAAAATGCCCTTAAAATTATAATCCATGGTGTAACTATGTCCTTAATCTTATATTATTTCATTAAATCTTGCATTAACAGTAACCTAAAAAAACTTAATTCTTCTTCATTTGATATACTTGTGCATTGACTTTCTCCTTTTTTTCCTGTTAGTAATTCTACATGGAGTCATTCTGTCTTGGATTTCCACAGGAGTCCACACCCAAAAAAAAAAAGAAAAAAAAACAGGAAAGGTCCTTTTTAATATAAAGATACTCATGTTCTTTTCTTTTATAAAAATTTGTTTGTTTACTTCACAGGAGACACACACACACATCTTCCATCTGCTGGTTCACTCTACAAATTGGCCGCAATGATTGGTGCCAGGCCAGGCCAAAGCCAGGAGCTTCAGCCGGGTCTCCCATAAGGGTGCAAGGGCCCAAGCACTTGGTCCATCTTCTGCTGCTTTCCCAGACATATTAGCAGGGAGCTGGATCAGAAGTGGAGCAGCAGGGACACAAGCCGGCGCCCATATGGGATGCCAATGTTGCAGGCAGCTTAACCCATTGCACCGCAGTGGGTCTTGTTAAAAGACATTTCAAGTATGTCTGACTTGAAACAGATAATATTTGATTAATATACTGTACCAATGGCATGCATCTTTTATTGCTCTCTGTTCTGAAGGGAGGGAAGAACTTCCAGTTCATGCATGTCCTTACCCAAGAGTTGAAGGGGCCCATGAACCCAGGTGGCTCCCACAACTCACATGACCATCACACTCCTGGAGCCCTGATGCCCCTGGGTGTTGCAGGCATGACTGTGGATTTTCATATTGATACAGAAGCCCCTTAGTCTGCTCTCAATCCCCAAGGTGTAACCCTACCCTCAAGGAATTGTGTCATCATGGGAGTAGATGGCAACTCCCACTCCCAACAGTTCACTTTGCCTTTCAAGTACTACCTAACTACCGCAGTTAAATTAAAGGAAATTTCTAGTGGAGTACATATATCAAGAATTAAACCTCTACCTCTGGAGTTCTCACAGACACACTCAGAGGATAGCTCTGCCTACTCTTCTGAGTCAATTGAGTACCTAAAATTTATCCTCAAAAGATTAAAAGGTAAGTAGAATTTTTGCTTTTGCTGTAAATTTCTCCCTAAAGAGAACAATTGGAATTGTTGCGCTTCCCAGATGACATGCTTTTCCTACTTTTTCTATCAGTCTGGAAACTGCCCCTTTGCAGGAAAACTCCCTGGTAAACTATTCCACTCTTATTCCTAAAGGAGAAAACCATATTGTAAACCATAAAGTCACTTGAAGAAATCTGCTGTCTTGGGTGACTGAGCTCAGACTGCTGGCCAGGCTCTAGAATGACTGTAAGATTCTTCAGATGCCCCAGCTAGATCGGCCGTGGACAACCAATTAACCCTGGATTACCTACTGGCAGAATAGGGCAGAGCATGTGCAGTGATTAATAAAACTCATGGACCTTAATGTAGCAACAGTGAGCTTGTGGATGAAGATATCAAAGGGATTTACGATCAAGCCAAGAGGCCCTATGATTTTGGTAATGGAAGTCCCTTGGCTTCCACCATCTGCAAACAGTAATAAGTGCTCCTGCATCTCTGCTCTTTCTCCTTTTCAGCCCATGTAGACTCATCTTAATTGTCAGATTTTTCTCTTCTAGAATCCAATGGTTTCATGTAAAGATGATAGATATGCAGGCATTCTAGCCATTACCAGTGAATGGTGACAGACTTCTAGCTCCTCCAGTGGAATACCTAGGTCATTTAGCAAGGAATTTTCATTCCCTGGCTAGGCAGGGACAATGTTCTGACACAGAATGAAGTTACAAAAGATGGACTTTCTTCCTTTTGCTTCCCCCATAAGGATTAATGGGTACAAATATCTGAGGGAAGAAAGAAATTATAGATAAAAAGACAGTTCAGAATCAGAAAAAGAGCCAGAGGAAATATGTGCACCACACCCTTGCCCTTGGCTGCTTCTAAAATTCCTCGCAAATCCATCAACCTGAAATCACAATTGTAGCAAAGCCACAGCACAGAACCTGTACATGCCTGCTGATCACATCTGAACAATGACCTATAGCATATTATAATTCCATTATCATAAAATTACTGTGCTGGTACTCCTACTTTGGTCATACATCAGATGACATTATACTACTGAAACTTCCTTAAAAGACCAGAAAATGGGAAGTCACAAAAGTTGTGAAAATCTCTGCCATTTCCTAGAAAGCTCTACCCAAAACATCACCTCCTGTGCCTCCAGGGAATGGGGCGCAGGTCTGCTCAAGAGTACTCACATCACTTCTTGAATACGTACTTTCGCTCTGCTAGCAAATCTTATTCCTCTGCCAACCTTCATCTACATCTTGTCCTTAAATTCTTTCTTGCCTTGGAAGCAAGAACTTGGACCCAAACATCCCACAACGTAAGCACCACCTGGATCAAGAAATATGGGTATAGACTCAGGGAGCTCCAGAGGTATTCACTGCCACCAGCCAGATTGTTTTCAAAGTAACCAGCTTTCTGACCTTTATTTCTATTAATTAGTTGTTCCTGTTATTCTACTTTGTATAAATAGGAGAAATGATATAGACAAAAATGAAATCCAATTATCTTTCTCACTATCTCTTTTCCTCCTTAAGTGTCTTTCTACTGGCTTAATGAACTAGAACTCCTAAGTCATCTTTTTCTTCTTTTTATTCCCTTATTTATCATTTATGCAACTCTAGTGTCAGTCAACTAAAAATTTTTCAAATTTATTCTTGGGTATTTCTTGCTATGAGTATTTATTTAGTAGATCACTACACTTTTTTTTTTTTCCTGGAATTTGTGGTAAACACCTACATGATGGCCCTGTGCTCCATATTACTCTCCCTGTCTTAATCTTTTCTCCCTATGACTTCCAATGTGCTCTTTCTAAAATACAGGATAATCAGTCCCACACTTGCTCGAGATCTAGCTTTGTCTTGTTTATTTCTGGATTTTATACAAGGCTCTGGATGATCAGTCTCTTGAACATTTTTCCATGTTCACTCTGCTTTCAGATCCCAGAATGCGCTCTACTCCAACCATATGGTCTGTCTTACAGTCTCCAAAACGGAAATACTCTTTCATGCACCTCTAAGTATTTGCAAATGCTCTGATTTCTTCCTAGGATGCTTTTCTATCGCCTTCTTTATCTAGTAAAAAGCCTACAAAACCCTCTAATCTCAATCAAAATATTCTCACTATTTCTCCCCTCACTCCCAAATACAATTAGTAGCTTTGTGTGAGACTTATTCCAGTATAATTCTTAGATACTTCTTTTTTTTTTTTTTTAAGAGTTTTTTTGAGAGGCAGAATTAGACAGTGAGAGAGACAGAGAGGAGAAAGGTCTTCCTTCCATTGATTCACCTCCCAAATGGCTGCTACGGCCAGCACGCTGTGCCAATCCGAAGCCAGGAGCCAGGTACTTCCTCCTGGTCTCCCACGCAGGTGCAGGACCCAAGCACTTGTGCCATCCTCCACTACCTTCCCAGGCCACAGCAGAGAGCTGGACTGGAAGAGGAGCAACCGGGACAGAACCAGCGCCCCAACCGGGACTAGAACCCGGAGTGCCAGCGCCGCAGGCGGAGGATCAGCCTAGTGAGCTATGGCACCATCCCTTAGATACTTCTATGTAATATGTGTACAAGTATTTATTGGCACATCTCTGTTTCACAGATTATTTTCTCTGCTCATAGATTTTTCTACTCTTCCATATATCCTCTGTTTAGAATATAAATATTATACAATAAGAGTTACTTTTCGAATGAACAGCAGTAAAATTAAGAATAAAAATGGCAAATAGAAGCATAATAATATTCTCCACAAGCACCAAGAAAGTAAGGGATATGTTCTCACACAAAAAAGGGCATTAAACTAATCTTAAAGAATGGGTAAAATTTGGTTTGAAAATGAATCAGAAACATATCTGTCATTAATTATAAGCAGAGACACTTTTTTGGGGGGAGGGTGGTGAGTAGAGCACCTGCTGGTTCCACACATCACTTAGAAAATGCTCTTCAGAGCGTTTCGCATGATGAAACTATTTCTTTGGGCCATATGACTCAGTCTCAGGCCTTGGTTCCTGAATAGATCTTGACAAATTAGAACTCATAAGAGAAGCATTGGCCTAGAATTAGAATGTTTCTAGGTTCCAATCCCTGCTGTTTGCAGTCTTTGATGTTTGATTGGTCTTTGATATGTTCCATATTAACCTCTGTATAACAGGGAATACATGCCATTATCCAAGGGTGTAATATGAGAATTGAATGAATAATATTTATAAAGTGCTCAACACAATGCTTGGCAAGCTGTCAGTGCTTTGGGAATTTTAGTGTCCTGTTATGGTTCCCAATACATGCTTGTGATGTTTTTCTTTGATGCACTTACTGTTTATGGCAGAAGCGGAGATGGGAGAGTGGAGGTGGAATATTGTGTATATTGACTGTGTGGAAGACTATGTGGAAGAGCCACTAACACTACCCAGGGCTGAGCATAAACAGTAAATCCTGCTGTGGCCCTGTGTTCTGCTGACCTCTGAGATTCTCTGGAGGCCCAAAGTGGCCTGGACTGCTGACAC